TCGTCGGCCAAGACGCGATGAATGTCGAAATTAACCATTCTTGCCATTACCAGAAAAGGGATGCTCGAGTTAAGGGGCCCCTCTGGGAAACTCTTCTAGATAGAACGTGATCAACTCTGATATGCCTTTGACCTTCTCGAACATCACTGCTTGAGTCGGGGTTGTGTCAACCAGCTCGTCGAGCTTCCTCTTTGTGGGGTTTATGGAAATGTCGTTGAACCCTCCGCCAGTTATAACCATGGTGGAGGGGAATCTTTCCCACCTACTGTGTATGGACAAAGGTTCTTCTTCGTGTCTGTCGGGGACGTAGAAGTCCTTCGGCCTTGTACCGGAAAAGGCTATTTGGACGGGGGCCATTTCATTCGATGGTCGGGTGTCTTCCTCGACCTCCCTTGTTTTGCGGGCATCCCGACGAGAGGCGTCATTATGGTGATATTGCCCGAGCCTGTCACCCTTGATGAGGGTTTCAATGGTGTCTTTGAGATGGACGCAGTCTTCAGTCAGATGCCCGTGGCTCCGGTGGTACTGACAATATTTGCTCTTGTCAGCGTCGGGCTTTGCAGGGGCAGAACGAGGACGTTTGACACCGCCATCCTTGAAGTCGGTATTAGCACACTCTGCCAAGATGCGCTCGTGGGAAGCTATTGGTGGAGTGTATTCGATGAATCGGCCCACGGGTCCCTTGTGATCACGGGGATCCCGTGGTTTGTCATCCCTCCTCTTCTCGCCTGTTCGTCGAGGAAGGACTGCATCCTGGTGTCGCAGGGCGTTAGTTGGTCTGCGGTTCCTTGGGTTGCGGGCTTTGTTGGCCGTTTCCCTCTCCTTGTAGTTCATGTAGGCCCTAGCCTTTTCGAGGAGAGTATCGAATGCCCGGGGTGGTTCGGTGCCAACGGCCTTCCTTAACTTCGTGCCAGGGAGGAGTCCCCTCTCGAGCAGATACTGTTTCATGTGATCGATACAGGGGACCTGGATGGCCTCACGATTGAACCGATTTATTAACTCCCTGAGGGTCTCGTCGCTTCTTTGGACGATAGCTTCGAGGGCAGCCTCAGTCTTCAGGTGTCGACGAGACGCTGTAAAGGAGCTGATGAACTAGTTTTTCAAGTTCCTCCAGGAGGTGATCGACCCTGGGGGAGATTTTTATACCAATCCATCACAGCTTTCCTCAATGTCATGGGGAACAACCGGTACTTGATCGGTCCCCCGATGTTATGATAGTGGAGCATTGCTTTGAACTCATCGATATGGTCGACCGGGTCGGCAATGCCATCATACTCCTTCAGTTGGGGAGGCTTCTCCGTTCCTTTTAGGAACAGGAGCCTCCATGATTGCTTGTGATAAAGGACCGTGGGGGTCATCTTCGTCGCTCTTGTAGAGGGAGTGGGAAAGAGACCTGTTGTAGTGGTGGTCATAGCGGTGTCCTTGGCCTCGGGGAGGATCCCTTGGTCGAGGATGTGTTTCTATGTTACCCTTGTTTATGTTTTCAGGGGAATGTTGTTCTCTGCGCGGGGGGTAAGGCCGCGTCTCCCGGTAGCCTCAGGCATGGTTCTCTCTAGTGCGAGGCGTCAGCCAGTCTACCGGGGAGAGAGGCTCCGCGATCTGTCCCGTCTGTGTCTCTGCGGGGGAGATTGAAGATGGTCTTCATCCTGTCGAGGAGGAGGGGAGTTGAGCCTCCCATGTCTTTTGGGTGCTCGACGAGAGTCCTCGAGCACCATTAGCCGCTCACCTTGCGCGAAGATTAGATGATTCGTCTGGTTAATTATTGCGAGCAGGGCCTGGGTCGTGGCATCAGCGCTCGGAGGGACGGGGACCTCCTGGAAAGTGTTCGACTCATAGTTCTGGGGCGGATGGGTGCCCTTGTGTGGTCGAGTGCGTGATGAGGACGAGGCAATCATACCGTCTCTATAATTCTGCATGAGATCGGCCATGTCGTCGTCGTTCCCATTGTTGTTTTTGTTGCCCATGTGTTCGACGACATTGTTGTTGGGGTCGGCGAGATGGGCGTCCAAGATGTTGTTGGCAGTTGTGTCAGCCATGACAATCAAGAATTTGGAGTTGCTTTTGTCTTAGGTAAATGAAGACGGGGAAGCTAGTTTCCCACAGACGGCGTCACTGATCGTACCTGACCAGAGTGATCGCCAAGACCTTACGTCGAGCTGAGGTTGAAAGAGAGATGTGGGGTACCTGCAAGACACTCCGATGTCAAAGTAAGTTTAAGGGAGAGTGCCAGTAAGTGTGAGTATTAGTATGAGAATGAATACCTGACCCTATCAAAGGAGAGAGTATTTATAGCCCCCAATGCTGGGCCAAGGTCTCTATCGTTGGGCCACGATGAGACCCAATAATAAAGACTGTCAGGGCTTACGTATGTATGGAGTCCAGCAAGTGGATTCCCCTTAGTCAATTGCTCCGCGAGAATAGGAGTTAGACCCGTGATTTCTGGAGGGAAGTTAAGATGACAGTGATGCGGACACGTGGGTCACGTTCCCCAACAAATACGTGGGGAGTTGTCCAACGGTCCCTAGCTTGGGCTGCTTGCCTTTGGGCCTTATACAAGGGTGCTGGATTGGGCCTCTCAACCGTGAGACAAGTGCGGGCCCAGTCCAGATCAGACCCTAATGTAAAGTTTCTTCCTAATTAAGGGGAGTCATATATTGATCCAGGTAGATATCGAAGAATTGTAGGAAAGTTGAATTATATTACATTGACTAGACCCGATATATCTTTTATAGTCAGTGTAGTAATTCAGTTCCTAAACTCTCCTTGTGACAAGCATTGAGATGTAATTATTCAAATTCTTAAGTATATCAAAGGATCACCTGAAAAAAACTTGTTTTTTTTTGTGATAGAGGTAACTTTGATATCATTGGATATTCAGATGTTGATCGGGCAGGTGCAAGTGATAAACGTTATATATCAGGTTATTATGTTTTTATTGGTGGAAATTTGACCTCATGAAAGAGCAAAAAATATACATTTGTTGCTCGATCAAGTACGAAAGCTGAGTAGCGAGCCACAGACATGCCACATGTGAGCTCCTACGGTTAAAGCATTTACTACATGAACTTCTTTTTGTAAAGTCCGCCATATGGAACTTGTATGTAGGGGTGAAAATAGAGTAGGCTAGGCTAAGTTAGACTAGGCTTTAGAAGGCCTAAGTCTGACCTATGATAAACATAGTGCATGTTTGGTTTGGCTTTTGGAAGGGTCAAAAGCAATTCTAGAGGTGTAGAATTGATTCTGGGTGGTTTTGATATGTTTGGTTAGGCAAAAGTAGAATTAATTATGTCTGCAGAATTGATTCTACTTGAAGCTATAATTTGTAATTTTTGCCTCCAGAATTGATTCTAGATGATTTTTACATTGAAATTTATTGTTCAACTCACTTTTATATAAATATATCCAAACATAAATCAATTCTGCTATACTCAATTACGATAAAATCAATTCTATCAAACTCAGTTCTACTAGAATCAATTATGTCCACCGCTAATCCAAACACACCCTTAAAAGGCCCGTGTCTGATCTATTGCCTATTATAGACTCTATTTTTTTTGTCTGACCTGACCTTTTTAAAAGTTTGGCCTTGCCTAAAATCCTATTTAAAAGTCGGTTTCTCATTAAGATTTTCAATTAATCCATACCCCTTCCTTCCCACAATGAGTGATTCAGTTGACCATTTCACACATATTGAGAAAAATGTATAAAAGTAAAAAAGATAATATGTTTACTATAATACCCCTTATCATTTATTGGGAATGATGAAATTTTTATTAGAGGATAGAATTTGAAAAAGTGTATTGGAAATTTAAATGAATCATTCAATTCGGGACATTATTTTATTCCAAATGAGTCACTCATTGTGGGACGGAGGAAATATTATTTAAGAAATCTTATAGACCGACTTATTTAGTTTTTTTCTAATATAAATACATATATAGGTTAGACTATTTAGCTTTTTTTCTTCTTCTAATATATATGCATATATAGACAAGTCTATTTAGACTATTTTGTCCATATATGAAAATATAAACCAATTTATAAAACTTCATATGTTTTTTTTAATAGCTTAAGTCTTACCTATTTAATTAAATAGACTCTTAAAAAACGTAAATATGATTTTTTTATTAAATAGATCTGACTTAGTCTAACTTTAAATAAACTAGGCTATAGATTCCTGTAGACCTACCAAACTTATTCTCATCGCTACTTGTATGTGATAACAAGTCAGTTGTGCACTTCTCTTTCAATCTAGTGTTTCATGGGAGGATAAAGCTTTCTTAGAGAGGATCACCACAGAGACTATCAAAAACTCCATTTTAATTCCAAGTATCAGCTTGTTGACCTCTTTACAAAGTTGCTTTGAAGTCCTTAGATTACTTACATAAACGATGTATATCACCATCTGTTTTTATTTTCATTGACCCATTTAGTTTGAATTTAGAGATAAGCTCAACATGATCCGGCAAAGTCTTGAAAAATAGATTTTATATTTGAAGGGCAAGCAGCATAAACAGAAACTAGAGCAATGAGTTCCCAATCCCATTGCTGAAAATGCAGTAGATTACTACAACGCCTCCTTTTGTCATAAATTTGCATTATTACTTTTCAGATATGGAACTCAACTCCCTTTTGGGAATCACGTTTAATAGTACACTTGTATCGCATTACCTCAAGATGGCATGTTGAATGGGGTCGGTGACTTATCCATTCAATGAAACCACTCTAAATACATTATTTTCTCAATAGTCAACCATGCCAACGGGACAAATCTGAAATACCAAAAGATAAAATGCAATTTATTGCTATTCACACTTCAATTGGTTGTTAGTAGACAACGACATTCTATGATTGTTATGAACTTGCAAGGCTTTCCACCTAAGCAGCAGATATGAAGAACAACATACTACTCTGTCAAAAAAAAAACGATTATTTGCTGGTTACCCACTTTGTGCAGTTAATGACGAGAAGACGGAAGAAATGTCTTTACTCCATAAAGTTTAGACCCTTCCAGCTGGAGAGATTGGAGGATAAGCAACATAACTTGCAGGAATCTCCTCAGATTTACCATGAGCCATTTTTGAATCATCTCTTTGAACCAATTGAGATTGCCGCCTATTTGTTCCCTCAATGGAGTTTCTTGATCCAGAAAGTTCACAAGGGAGCTTGCCATCCAACATTGCTATGCAGATTGAAAATGCTTGCAAGGGTGAAAGCGATGAGCCAAAAGCTACTGAATATGCTCCCGCTTCAAAATTTGAAAAACTGAAAACAGGACGGCTATCTTGACATTGGTCATTTCCCTGTATTAAGCATTTATGGTAAAAAAACTTTAGTAACCAATTATCTACAGGCTAACCAATTAGAGATTAATCTGCAATATGATAACAAACTTAAATTAATCAATGAAGAAATACCTGGAAGAAAAGCTCATACTGATCTGCAAAATAAGCTTCCGATGTTCTTGATTTTCTGCACATTTGATTATTGTTTGCAAGAATTTTTAGTTTACAAGCTAAATCCCAACCACCGCAATCACAGGATCCACCAGTTTTCCAACGCTCAATCAGCGACGAAGGTCCACCATCGGTTGGAAGACTATGAACCCCACTTGGAAGCACCACGGTCACCTGTAATTGATCTTGACATTCATTCTGGCAACTGTTTTGATGCGCATAATTGACAGCTTTAGGTGATTTGACAGCTATCGCAGCAAGCTCATCATTTGGCTGATAGTCAGTCACCTGAGCATCTCCTTGCTTTAGCTTTACAGAAAACAAAACAAACTCTTTTGTGATAGACTCCACACGATTCTGACTATTTGAATCACCATAGTGCATATCGGAAAGCTTCATTTGCGCAATGACCTGGCGAATATAATCAGGACCTTTGCTTTTTTCACTGTGATTCGTCCGACTTCCATTTTTCTTTTTAATCTCCTTAAAGGTGAAAAAAGTATAGATACAGTTGCATTCATCTTTTTTGAAGACAGTGGATCTCTTCACTGTGGCAGCGAGAATGTTGCTATTGTTGCCAGCAGCAAATGTAAAAAGGGGCTGACCATTCTTCATGGAAATTCTCAGTACAGATTGAGATGTTGATGGCATATGCGCCTCTTCACTCGACGATTCCATAGTGTTAGCTGTAGAACAACCAAACTTCTGGTCCTTGTCCAATTCTTTTGCTGGCAGTATAGTGGAACATGTCCCATTCCCTGACCTACAGTTCTTATTTATTGACACTGTCTCTTTTTGAAATAAATTCATAGAGTGATGGGAGTTTGCTGCCTTTGGTTTCAGCAGGGGATCAAGTAATCTCCTTAAAGGGCTGGACCTGCCTTTACCTGCAGCACCTGATTTGTTCCCTGAAATGTTTGACCCAGCACTACCTCTCACATTTTCTGAATCTTTTTGAGATGAATCCAAGGAATGATGGCAGTTTGCAGCCTTTGGTTTCACTAGTGGATCAAGGAATCTCCTCAAAGGGCTGGCCCTGCTTTTGCTGGAACTTCTAGGTTTATCACTGTCTGGAATGTTTGAGCTTGCATAACCTCTCACATTTTCTGAACTAGGTTTATGTGTCACTATGGAGATCTGGTGTGGCACATGTGCAACCTCCTTACAACCAGAAACTTTATTTGTGAATCCCATGCTGAAGCTTAATCGACGAAAAGGTGAAGAGCTTCTTGGTTTTTCAGTAGTTCCTTTCTGATCTACTTCTCTAGGAGGCCCATTTACAGATGAAGATCCAGCAATGCTGGGTCTTCTTTCCTCGGCTTTTCTAGATCTGCCTGGGCTCATTCCCATTCTGCCCGGAAAAGATACTGAAAAAGTAGAAACAGGAATTTTGAAACTTTCTGAATCTAAGGAACTGGACCGTGACTCTTTAGGCTGAGAATGACTTTGATTAAGTTCATCTGGTAAAGAACAGGATTTTGAAACATTGCAATTCATATATGTACAGGAAGGTTCCTTAGGATTTACTGAATTTTTGTTTTGACTATGGCTTCCTAACTTCTGATCCAAGGTTGCTCGCTTATCAGAAGCTCCACAATGATTGTTTTTTTGAGGAATATCTCTAGGTAAAATAAGAACAATTGGTTTGTTTTTCCCAAGCATATCATGTGCATTAATATCACTATTTTGTTCTCTAGGTAAATTTTCCTTTTTCTTTTCCATTTGATCATCTCGCGTGCTTAACCTATCACATCCTTTCAGTATACTAGTCGGATGGTTTGGGGAAAGATGATCAAAAGTGCGAACATTTTTTCTCTGTATGTCAAAACTACTGTAGCTACCTTTAAGATTCAGACGATTTCCAAAATTTTCTGCAGAGGACTTAACAGCTATAGAACTGTCTTGCTTTGTAGAAGCAATAAAGTGAGATCGGACTGACGGAGGGATTATCCTTTGCTGAGGAGACCAATTCAGGTCCCTTTTAGAATTACCAGATAATTCCTCTGTGCGAATAGAAGACGATGTATTACTAGAAGATGTTGAGCTTTGACTACTTCTGTGGGGTACATGTTTATGGCTGTACTGCCAATGCTCTAGACTGGCCCAATCAAGGACCCCAACATTCAAAACTTTCTCAGGGACTTTTTCTCCCCTCTCCAAATAACCTGGTAAACTTGACATGTGCATAACAAGCTCATCTTCATCATTTTCCCTTCTACGGGTTGTTTGCTTTTGTTGATTTGGTAAATGTTTTAAATAACTGTCTGCCGCATTTTTGGTAATCTCGTTATTAAGATCAGCATTTGACAAAGATGACTTCTCTGGTTTGAACCCATCACTAAATTTATTACTCATGCTGATGGATAGCTTTCAGGCTTCAGTTCTAACCATTCCAAGCACTTGCTTTGAAAATACCTTTCTGCCTCTCAAAGAAATTTCCCTCGGGAAAATATCACCGCTTTCTTCACAGCTGCAAAACTGAATTACAGTTACAAATTAAACTTCCAAAATCAAAGATTTCATAAACAGAGTTATCAAATATAAAAAATAAATAAACAAATATATCAATACCAGGGGTATTTTCTATTAATCACATTAAACAAATGCAAAACTAATCGGAATAATATCCGGGAGTTAGATTTATGAGACCAACTACAAGATCATGTTAAAGAGAAAATAAACCTGCAATGACTCTAATTTAGTCGCCGCAGCGACAAATGAGAAAATCCAATCCAGCTAATCTCAATGAAAGTAGCAAGTACAGCGACAACAATTTACAAAACTGAAATATTTTCAGTAAAGAAAGCATAATCCTAAGCTATTAGGGTAAAAATTGTATCACAAAACTTAAATGTCACGATTCAAAGAGCCTTTCTACTTTGAATGTGGGTTCCTAAAAACTCTCATAACAAGAATTAGCACAAAAATTAAAACTTTACGTTGGATTATTATGAATTAATACAAAATATAAAGAAAAAGAAAAGGTCAAAACGAAATCACATAAAATAAGCAAAAATTGCGGAAGCTTAAAAACAAACGCAATTTAAAAAAAAAATCAACTAACGATAATTTGCATCATCATCATCATCATCATGCAACAATAACAACAACAGAAAAATTGCCAAAAATAACGGAACAGTCTCAACCGCATTTACACTGGAATCTATAAAAAAAATTAAAAAAACGAAAAAATAAGGACTTGTTTGGATTTTCTAACAAAGCACTTTAAAAAAAAAAAAACCTTACTGATCGATTGATGGTGAATACTGAAATAGAGCATTGGATTAGAAGATGAATCTAAATGCGAAAGTTTGAAGGCATAGAATGGTTACCGGAGAAGCGAGAAATGGAAAGAAAGAGTGTCGGTGCCTTCGTTTGTTGAAAACGACGTCGTAACAGAGTGAAGTGTAAAACGAGCAACAACACCAAAACGCAAACGCGGCAATGTCGTCTTCGAGTGTTACTATTTCTGAGTACTGTAACTCTGCCTGCTATGAATGTGAAGAGTCAATGAAGGTTGGTTTTGTGTGGCCTACTGTTTTGATCTAACGGTTGGAATTAGGGGTTGATGATATGATCGTACGGTGAGGATTTCCGGGTCTTTATAGATGGTGCGTTGGTGGGCTTAATATTGGGCAGTTTGTGTGATTCTGGGCCATTATTGGGCCTGTTGTCGTTTTGTGGGTTCTTTTTAGTCATCGTCGTGTTCAGATACTGAACACAATTTACACAGACCAACTATAGTAGTATATGCGTGTTCACTTTTAGAGACTTTTATCTCTTTCTTTGTCATCATCTCATTAAGATGAACTCATATGAGGCTTTCTACACTCTTAAAGTTGGTTCAACTTTTTTTTTCAACAAAAAGGTTTGTTCATACATCTTTTGATTTGAAATAAAGTAAAATACAAATAATGATATCTCAATTCCACTTTTTAAAGAGTAACTAGTCAAAGACGTATTTCTGTATGAGTGAATTTTTTCTGAATAAGTAATATAAATAAAAAGAATTATGAATAATTTGTAAATAAAAATATAAGTTATTAGTTTAATCATATAAAGAAAAATACATAAATATAATTAAATAAATTTAGACACAATAAATATAATATAATTAAATTTAAAATAAATAATAATTATAAAAATTTAACTGTAATAAATAATCATATATATAAAAAAAAGATCTAAATATAAAATATTAAATAATCATAGAAAAAATTAAAATTTTAACAAATGTGAATATAAAGTTTTAGATATAAATATAAAATTTGAAATGATTTATGATCTTACCGGTTGATCATAACCTGCAAGGTGGTTGGATGATGATCTGTGGTCGGGCAGTGATGTCAAAGAGAAAAAAAGGGGATTGTAGCTGCAAGGCACTCTGACGATCAAGTAAGAGTGGGAACAAGGAGACACAAACAAAGTGTTAAGGTATTGGTGTGAATATTCGATACTTGACCCTCACAGGTGTTAGAGTTTATATAATGGCCCTGGCGCATGGCCATTGGTTCTTGATTTTACACCTGGATATGCGAGTCCGTAAAATCAGGCAACTGTCAGGACTTGGTCAAACGGGGCAGATGTGCCCGTAACTAGCCGTTGGTTCCGAGGAGGGGGTAGTTACGGGCATCTCTCTGGTCGGTTCCTGGTGGCGTGCACGACTTGATGTTGGGCAGGTTGAGAGGTGCTCGTTGATCATTCTAGGCTAGAGCTGGTTTGGGAGGGAAAATGGTTGATATTGCCCGACGGAGAGCGAGGCGGTTCGGGCCACGGGCGTGTGGGCCGTACCGAAAGAAAGGGTTAGATTTGGCCCATTCTAGTTGTCGTGCTAGTCCAGAACAGTAGTCCCCTAAGTCGTTGCTTATGGGTGCAGGAGTGATGACTTTAACACCTGCTCGTGGAACGGGGCGTGTCTTACAGAGTAATGAGTGTCGCCTGTTGTGCCTTTCTCGCGGGGAGATGAGGAGTTGGTCGTTAGGAGCCTTGAACTTGAAGAGTTGGTGTGATTCGAGTAGCGTGCTGGCGAAGCAACACAATGATGGTCTAGGGGCTATGTTGTAATGATGACGACCCTAGGATTTCCCGGGCACGTGTCTCACACACACGGATGGCCTCAACTATAAATATTAGAGGAGTAAGGAATTTAGTGTTTTTCGCCTTCTTTCTCAACTGCTCGTAATTGCTCGACTACCGACCACCATCGTTTCTTGAGATTTGTTGTTCATTGTTGCTACTTCCAGCCTTTCTTCTTCTATTAATTGGTAAGTTTTCAGTTTTCCACCATTGTTTGCTTTCAGTAGTTCATATTTTCTTCGTTTTCTTTCTAGAGATGCATGCGGCTAGGGTTTAGTGTTTCGTCTGTTGGAACGCTGTTGGGGAGTGTTGGTGGTAGGCGACAGTTCTGTAGTTTAGAATCACCGGAGCCGCCGTGGAATCTCCCCGGGCACTTCATGATGTGTTGTAGATGGTCCCTTAGGGCCTAGGACTTTTTCTGTAACTTTTGCCCGTTCAAGCGCCTTAGTGAGGGTTCTGGTCGAGGACACTATCCTTGTTTCCCAGCGCCCTTTCACTTGATTAGCGGTGGAAGGGTGGTTCTGTCATTGATGTCGAACTCATCTTTATCCTCTGCTTTTCATATGCTATGACCGACAACACCCGGGTCGATCTCTCGAGTGAGTCTTCTGGTTTTTCAAGAAGTTCTTCAGACAAGGCGAGTAGCTCGTTGAGCATTCTGGATATTTCTGGGGACACGCAGAATCATCCGGAGTAGTAAATAGGGGGAGGCGATGTGGAAATGACCTCCTCCGAGCAAGGATCCTTGTTTCCCCCGAGGACGAAGAGGATCCGCGGGCTTGGGTCGCGAACGATCCCCGGGAGTGGCCCTCGTATTTCTTTGAGCATCGAGATGATGTTTTTACAGAGGTGTATACTCACGAGGAAGGGAACCAAGGAGAGTGATCGCTATACATCCCTGGGAAAGAGAGCAAAATCTGCTTGAAATACGATAGGAGGCGGATTCCTATGTGTGACATCGTATTTCGAGAGATGGGTCTTCGGCTCCCTTTCTCGAATTTTGAGGTGGCCGTATTCAGGCACCTGCGCGTGGCTCCTTTCCAACTGCACCCGAATGGCATCGTGTTCACGCGAGCGTTCAAGATAGTCTGTGATTACTTGAAGATAGGGGCCACCATTCCCTTATTCTTCTACTGCTTCCACCTCCAGAGGAACAAGTTCGAAGGCAAATGGGGATGGGTTTCCTTGAAGCAAGGCAACGAGAAGCTGTTTAAAGCTTATCTGGAGTTCGTTCACCATTTTAAAGACAAATACATATTGGTGCAGCCACCTTCAAGCAAGGCAATGTTGAACATCTTTAGGACCGTACCAGCGCATAACGAGGATGGTACTCCTCGTCTGAAGGAGCTAGGAGACCCCGTGGTAAAATTGGTTTACAAGTTCCCGTTCCAATGGACGATGAAGCACTTTGATAATGAATTGGGCTCCTATGTTTGAAGGGAGAGGGAGCTCTTAGTCGAGGACCTGGAGAGCTTCGTTGTCTTGGCTGCCTTTGTGGCTCAGATCCCTCGCGTCCAGCGAGTTAGATGGGGAGGTAGGCCGGTGATCGACAAGAACGAGGAGCCTGTGTATGAGTCGGGTCTCATAATCATCAAAGAGCTCCTAGGGAGCGAGGACCCCGTTAAATACTTGTGTATTTATGTTTTAAACATTAGTATTGGTCATCATTTATTTGACTCCTCATTTTACTAACTACGTTTCTTTTTGTTTGTTTTGCAGATAGCATGAATCTTGCCAAGGAACGCATAGCCAAGACCCTTGTTGCTAGAGCAAGGAAGGATCAAAAGGATGCATAGACTGGCTTGGGGGTCGCCCCTACCTCGGGGTCGAGTGACTCGTCTTCGGCCCAAGCTACGGTCGCTCTTTCTCCTGCCGTTGTTTCCTCAAAAGCGAAGAGGCCACGTCCCGAGGGAAGCGTCAACCTGACTGGGGAAAAAGGGAAGGGGACATACGACATGCCCCCTTGCTGGATGGAGAAGGCTTTCTTCGAAGGTGCATCTCTCCGTCTTCCTTGGGTTAAATCCCTTCATCTCGAGGGTTTGGGCCACCCGGAGAAGAGGGTGATGTTGGCGCCAGATGTCGATGGTTTGATGCGGATCCTGGAGATGGTTGTCACCTATACCTAGGGAAGTTCCTCCCTGGAGGCCGAGTTGAAGAATCTTCAGGCCAAGCTGGCTACGAGCAAGAAGGCCCGGATCGAGGAAGAAAAGGCCCGGAAGCTGTCTGACGGAGAATCAGGGAGGCTCCCCGAGGAACGCAGGGTCCTCTTGCTCAAGAAG